ATGCTGATTGCTAAAATGTCTTATATGTCCTGGATTTATTTAGTTTTTAATTTATATAGAACAACTATTGCAAGTGAATTACAGTTTTAAAGCTAACCTTTTACAGAATATGACCTGATGAGATTATAACTTTAAGAGCAGTGATGTAATCCAAAAGATCTACGCAGAAAGTACTCATTTATGGAAAATAGACAGTCCTATGGGTATACAACTAAGAGCATTTTGAGATTTTTTACATAGATTTTTCCACATTTAAGCACCTCTTTGTGTGTATCTGTGTCTTTATCCACATAAATCATCCTTATCAAATTCTTGCCCCTTTGCATAATGCTCTGTTTCGGTTGCCTCTGCGAGTTCCCCTTTAACCACTCACTGACTTGTGGTCACTCTGTCTAGTACATCACCAAATGCTAGTTGTATACTGATATCAATTTAAGCTGCAAACGCTTAGTTGTTGATGTTGCAGGACATCAAACTTTAAGATTGATGGTCATGACATCTGTGCCACAAGTTTGTGACCACGGACAATAATAGATTGGTTAACTTTTATTACCCCCTGTTTCAAGGAATAGTGGAAAGCACAAGCTCAGTTTAACTCACTTGTAAATATGCACGCCTTTTATATTTTAGCACAATTAAAACTCCAAGGAACGGTCACTTCAAGAGAGAAGGCAATTGCCCTTTGGATTGACTTGTGGCTATGGCAGGGCTTGTCCTTTGTTTCCGCTTGTTTCTGCTCTTAGGAAGGTCAGAAATCAAAGACTAGAACCAATTTGTGTTTATTTTTTATCAGGAATTTAGCTAAACTGCTTAAGAGCCAGAAAGCAAAACTTTCACACTCTCAGAGTTATTCAATAAACTATCAGATTACCCGAATGGAAAACCAGAATCATAAATAGCTGTTTTAGAAAAATTCCCAGCAATAGTCACAACTTGGCTATTTTGCCTCAGTTTTGCCATTCAGACTTAATTTGTAAAAAGTGAGAGTTTAGTAAATAACCTTGTAACACCATGGACTATGCTACGGGCTATCGCTATCTATGTGTGCAGCTGCGGCCCCTGACTCCCTGTTACTGCAGAGGGGGCCCTGCAGACTGCCTCTGCACATTCAGTTCAGGGTCTCACGAGCGTTATTGGAAGAAATTAACTGAATGTGAAGACGCAGTGTGCTGGGCCCCCTCAGCAGTTACAGGAAGCCGGGGGGCCCCACCATGCCACCAGGGAATGGAATCTCCCCCTCCCTGGACACAGGTAAGAAGCAGGCAGGGGGGGAGAAACATTTAATTAAATTTAATATAAAATTACTATGACACTGCCCCTTCCTCCCCCCCTCTAGATTGCACATTTACACAAACACTGCCTACACTAATACAACACACACACTGCATACACTACACACTAACACACAATACATTCACTACACACTAACACACACTCTGCATTCACTACACTAACACACACACTACATTCTTTACACTGACACACTCTGCATTCACTACACACTAACACATACTCTGCATTCACTAAACTATGCACACACTCTGCATTAACTGTACACACAGCATCCACTACACAAACATCCTGTATTCACAGTACACACGCTACATCCACCACACATTGAAACACTCTGCATTCACTATACACAGACACTACGTCTAATACACACACTACATCCACTAAACACATTTCATCTAGTACACACAAACACTACATCCACTACACAAACACACACTACATCACTGTACACACACTACATCCACTACTCGAACACACTCTGTGTTCACTATACACACTGCATCTGCTACACAAACATACACTCTACATTCACTGCACAAACAGTATCTAATACACACAAACACTACATCCATTACACACATTCTAATTCACTTCGACTATACACACCACATTCAGTCCTGCATCATTGTCAGCGGACTAGGTAGGGCGTGGCCGGGCCCAGACCTTGTGCTTTGTCAAGGGCCCCAAAATTTCTGATGGCGGCCCTGGCTTAGAGTGATGCTTTCACATAGCAATTAATTATCTGGGTGCCTTTGCTCTCATGTATGTATAATGCCCTGATATCTTGCTCCAGGTTTCCTGGCATCGAACAGTGGCTTTTGTTAATTGGATTTATGAAAGTGCTCAGCCTGCCCTTAGCTCCCTATTTGTGTCCTGGATATCTTTTGATATATTCTTGATATAATCATTGGAATTTGCTACCTCCTGACACCAGATATGCCCCAGTGTTTCCTGCCAATTTCTGATGAGATGTCGATCATTGCAAGAACTGCCTCCTATAGCCCATGGCAGCTATCACTTAAAGTATTTTGCTACTTTGAAGTGCAGAATCCCTTCAGCAGTCACACAGGTGGGAGCTGGATGTCAGAGGTTCAGTGCCAGGGGGCCCTGGTGCAAAAATGTTTTGTTGTCTCCCCCCATAGAGCAGGGGTGGCCAATAGGTAGTTGTACAACTCTCATGATGTTGAGGATCTACTATTCTTTCAGTATGCTATGTGTGCTTTTGTATGGAGTATGTATGTGAATGTTGTGATTCATAATGCTGAGGTTTGCATGTAGGGATGTTTTTGTGTGTAGCATTGGTGTTTGAATACAGGGATATGTTTTGTGCATTGTATTTGAAGGCAGGGGTGTTTATAGTATCAATGTTTGCACACAGATGTGTGTTTTGTGTAGAGTGTTGTGTTTGAATGCAGGTGTGTATGTGTGTGTAGTGCTTGTATTCACACACAGGACTTTTTAAGTACTGTGTTTGCATGCATTGGTGTGTTTGTGTGTACTGTTAATGTTTGAATGTAGGGATGGGTTTGTGTGTAGTGTTGGAGATTGAATGCAGTGGTTTGTGTGAAATGTTGGAGTTTGATTGCTTGAGCATATTCATATATATATATATAGACATACATTTTCACAATCACATGCAGACACTCATATACACCACCACACAGAGATGCACACACATATACACAAATTCTCAAACACTGAAAGCCATGCACATACTGGCACACATATGCACAGTTCCAGACAGACATACACTCACGGATTGACACAGATACACACAAAGCTCCTAAAACATTGACACATGCACAGATACCTTATATACACCTGATGCACTCACCCTCTTTGCAGAGTCCAGCATACCCCCTACATTCCTGCAATGCACACATGAAATATCTCCTCTCTGCCAATGTGATCAGGTAGTGGCCCATGGCACTTGTAACTATACCTGGCATCAGCAATACTCTCACAGCAGCCATCTAATATCTCATGAATTATCATAGTAACTAGTGTTTATTATCTGTTGCTTTCCTGAGACGGCTTTCTTCACTTTGATTTATTGTTTGTTTATAATAAAGTGAATGTTATCCTATTACTATTGGTTTCTCTATCATCGCCTGTATCCCACACACAGAGTCCCTTTTCCAAACTCCTACTGAACACTCGGTCAGCTTGTGTCTAGGTAATAAAAATGTGTATTAAAAAAATATAGCACAGTATCCAGGCCCCACTAGACAGATTTTCATACTCGCAAATAAAGCCTGCTTATAAGAACAGCAAGTACTCCGAACGCAGTATACATTCATTTAATAGGGGGAGGGGGGAATCTGATCCATTTTATTGATGGAATTCACATCATAACCATTCACTATTTCATACACGAACCTGGAGAATGATTTATTTATTTATGTATTTCAAGGGCTCATTGCCTGTTGCTGGAACACAAAAACAAACTAGCAGCATTGTGTGAGTTGTTGGATTTTTTTCTGCTTCGTGTAGGGTGTAGTCATACTGCAGAGAGAAAATAAACCAGTTGGTTATAAAGCGAGGCACAACTCATCTTATCAGTAGTTTTAAATACTGCAGGTTCTCCATTCTCCAGCATTTAGAATATTTTATTTATATCCTCTAGGGCAGTGCTCCTCAATGCACACCTAACAGTCCAGGATTTAGGTTTAAAATCTCTTAATGTGGCAAGTGGTGACGAAAAAAAAAAAATATATATATATATATATATACATATACACACTAACAACTGAGCAGCCAAGAGCATTATGTGGAGGATGTTAAAATATATAATGGTGGGGTGGCCAGATCAAATAAACAGGGGCAAATATTATAATAGCCCCCACGCGCTGATCATGGGTGGGGCATGGGGGACTTAAGGATGTCCCCCCAGTTTATTTTATCAAATAGCCCCAACCATACATTGAAACAGACTAGGTCCCAAGTGCCACCTGCTATCCTAAGATTATTTAGAAGGAAAGTAATTCCCACTCATCCTGGCTCATGAGTATCACTTAGAAAGAAGTAGTTGTCTATAGTTCTGTGGCGTAGTGAACACTGTCCAATTGCATTAATGTGTCTAACGCGTGTAGCACGCTTTGTTTGTGATGGCATATTGGTGGCAGCCAAAATTTCCTTGTGCAGCAGCAGGCACATGCGGGGACATGAGTGGCGACAGTGTAGGGTGCATATCTTTTCTACTAAATGTGGAGGCTATGGATTAGCAACACAGCTTAGCTATTATTGTGGCAGCTCTTCGAAGTAGGATAGAAAGGTTGGTTGGAGATAGGCACAGCAATACACAAGTTCTTTGCAATGAATGATGGGGAGCCATTATAGTTAAATCAGAAACGGTGAGTTTAATCGCGGTTCGTGGTGCAGTCCATGTTTTATAGCTGGTGGTGAAAAGAGCACTTCCAACTGATGCTGAGGGTGGCAGACTGCACCCTATTGGAGAAATGTCAAACGATTGTCACAAACGGGTACGGGGCCTGCCCATCACGGAGAGCAGTCGCATGTCTGCTGAGCTCCGGGCTGAAATCAGCATGAAATTGACAATCACCCCAAAAAAAAATAATCAGCAGTGCCCAGTCAATTAATCGGCACCTTCCCACACCACACTATGGGGAAACTAGCAAAAAAAGCCAACGCGGAAGATTGCACACGACGAATAGGAGACATTTCTGGCACGGTCTAAAGCTAAAATGGCAGCAACGCCCGACTCCTTAGGCCTATCCTCGGAAGAGGATCCACTGGACTCCCCAGACGCCATCCCAGAGGCTGACGACCCATTCTCGGCCATACAATTAGGTGACCTGGGGGCTCCTGCAACAAAACGAGACATCCTGGGCCTTCTTAAACACCTGCGCACATGGTTCCGCACGGATATAGCGATGCTCCGGGAGGAGGTTACCGCCATAACGGACAGGGTGAAGGCCACAGAGGAGGACATCTCCTGCACAGCACAATGCCAGTCAGGCGCCACGGAACGCATTTAGCAACTCCAAGGCTCACACCAGGCCATACAGGCCAGAGTAGATGCAATGGAAGACGCACCAACATGAATGTCAGAGGCATAGCTGAATCGGTCCATGACATGGAGCTACCCCACTTTATCCGGTGCCTTATGTCAGAGATCCTGCACCCCAAACAGGCGAAGATACTGCAACTGGACGGAACACACATGCTCCCTAAGTCTCCCAGGGCACCGGCGGGAGCTCCCCGTGACTTCCTCTTTAGATTCCAGTCCCTCCAAGAAAAACAAGCAGTGATTGAGGCCATCAAGAAGTGCCCGTTCCCATTTGAGGGCTCACCTCTCTACAGGATCTCTGCAGGGCGACGGAGTGGAGACGCTCAGTCAGCCAGGTCACCAAGACCCTCCGAGAGGCAGGTGTCCAATACAGATGGGACCCTCCCGACACACTCGTGGCCATCCAAGGAGCATATATCTACCGACTCACACCAGCTGCAGATTACGACCCTTTCCTACGCAGCCTGGGGCTAGACAAACTCAAGACCAACATCTCCACCGCTGGACATTCATGGGACATACCCAATATAGTCCCCTTCGTACCTCGAAATAAAGCCAATACTGGCTGAGACACCACAAGCGGACAGGGGCTTACCTTTACCCTCTTGCGGAAAACTGTGCCGATGGGCTGGCAATCAACTTTAATGCAATTATGTTAAAGTTTTTTTGTATTGTTTTTTCCAGCATGTTTAGCCATAGTTTTATTGCTACTATAATCTGCTGATGCTCTTGCACTAGTCCTAATGGGACAAACAGACCAACTACATCCATCCTCCCTCCCTCCTCACCATCCAACTACATCCCAGCTCAGGGGTCCATGAACACTACCCCACACGGTAACACTGAGCCAGAAACCAGCTACAAGCAGTACACCCCTTCCCAGCGCTACCGCTTGTCTTAAATAATGTACTAAAAAACAACAGCAGCATAATTCCCCCATATTTTTAGGGCACATCAGCCACACAAGCACTTAAACGGCCTACTTATTCTGGGCCTCCCACGGTAGGAGAAGGCCCTTAATCCCCACGATCGAGCCACATGGCCAATACATCCCTCAACCCAAACTCTTTTACTTAATAAAAATAAAACCCTCACCCCAGCCACCCTTTATGCGTTAGTCATAGCAGAATATTGCAATGTATAAGAAGTCATTTCACCACGAAATGTTATGCATATTTTATGCTTTCTCGGATCTGCCACACGGAGTGATGCAAAAATAAAGAATTTTAAAAAAGATTGTCAGGCACTTCCACTGTAGTGTAAAGGTCAGTCACAAATTGAAGGAGCAAGGACAAGCAGGCTTACCACAGCATCATCCTCACCAACAGGTTATCACACAGTGGAACATATGATCAAGCAGCAGAGAATGATGCATTCCTTATTATTGAAGATGAGCATCAGAGTGACATGTCCACTGGGGAGAGAAGAATGGGGAGCTATAGGTCAGATAGTGGCAGTCAGTAAGCATTTAAAAGGGATGTCAAACAATTTAAGTGAAGTCACAACAAGCACTGGGCAGATGAGTTTCTTATTCACACTCCCAAAGAACAAAATGGAAGGAATCCTAGAGAACCGAGAATAAACCTGGAGATTGACTGTATATTCAGAAGTGGCAACTTTTATCAGGAAGTTGAAGGAGGATTTGAAAGCTCCTTTGAAATGGTGAAGGCATACCTTTCAGAACCAGGACAGATTTAGCAGTTGTTGGGCATTTTAACCATCAAGAAAAGTGTCCTTACAGCCAACATAAAGAAAAGAAAGGGGGAGGGGGAAGAACACATTAGAAGTTGGGTTTCTGCATATGGCATATAGTGATATTTTTCCTAAACTCCCAATTTGCCAAGGCAGATTTTGAGAACATTGCTTGGTACAAAAATCATGGCAATTCACAAAATATTTTTAAAAAACCCTTGATAGGCTATTCTGAATTAATTTTTAGAAGGATTCAAGGCTTGAACCCTGAATACAATTTTGATGTTCTGGAGTACATTCAAACGTTAGTCTAAATTCAAAGGATTATTATTCACTATCACTGCTGATCAAGGAATGGTTTGTGTATTTTCAAGAAGCCAGATGAGAGGAAACTAGACTGATGTCTGGGAGACACGACTTAAGTGTTAATTAGTTTGAAAATAAGGTGGAAGGAGCCTGTGGGTACTATAACTTCCTTGACCTCAAGTGGTTTTGGTGCCCAGAATGGCCCTTTAATAAAAAATTTTAATCAACGTGATTGTGCTCTCTGTGACTTTTTGAATAGATGTGCATTCATGCTATTGTATGTGCGTGATCATTTTTGAAATGGGTCCTGCTTAATGTTACTGTTAAATCATACATTATGGCAATATAAATTAATAATCTCTACACCAGCATATCATTTTAAGTAAATACTCCATATATGTATCAATATCCATGAAGTTTGTCTCGCTCAATCAAGTTAGATTTAATGCCTTGTGTGTTGAGTCAGTAGGTCGGTTAGGTAGAGAAAGGAAGCAATTAGCAGTTCATAAATCTAAACTGGGACAGGGGGCGAGGGAACACTCCTGGCACCATAACCATTATAGCAATCTATTCAGAGAGAAGTTAAAAAAAAAAAAATAAGTAACCACTCACTGTAGGTTATTGATTAAACCAGGAATGGTGGAGAACTGACCTGGTAATTCAAAAATTGTAAGTCAAAATAGCACAGGTGCAAAATATTTCAAAAATGAATTGCAAACTTTAGCAGAGCTGGAGAATTTATCCATGTGAGCGATGTTTGCATATAGTCTCAGACTGACTTTGCAGCTTGGTTTGAAATTAGTTTAAAATTCAATGTTTACTCCAAGTCTGTATGTGTGGTGTTTTACTATGCTACAGTGCACCCCTTTGCTGCCAGAGGTGAGGGCAAATCCTGTGGAGGTGAAGAGGACCAGTATAGGAAGGGTTACTCTGACCAAAAGCAGTGTTTTTTTTTTTGTTTTTTTTTTAAGTAAGGGTAATTTTATTTTATTAAATGTAGCTTCCTCCCCACTAAAAAAAAATCCTCTACACGGGAAAATAAAATAAAATCAATTAAAAAAAAAAAAAATGAAATAAAAATATCCACAATGGAAGAGAGTTTTACTCTAGCAAGGTTAAGTTTAAAATTAGAAAACACTTTTTTTTTTTTTTTAATAGAATGGGCTTCCAGAGGGCAAGTTCTGTATGCTATGGCAGCTGTTATAGCAATAGGCGTTCAGAATAGGAGTGCAGAGTCAGGTCTGAGCAAAAGGTAAAAGGTGCGCGTGGAACGGATCGATCAAGAACAATCTGACATTAATGGATAATCTGTATGGACCGTGAACAAGTAAATAAAGTAAACAAGTAAATAAGTCACAACGTTCGCTTTATACATTTTATTACAGTAGGATACCCCTGAGGAAAAAAAAAAAAAAAAATTAACCCTCCCACCCCCACATAAAATTTCAATGTAGATCATTTGAGTGGCACATTACATCTGCTAAAATGTCCGGGACATGTTTTGTCTATAAATTAGAAGTTGCACAGAATTGTAGAAGGGAGTTGCAAATTTTGGATGTTAATGAGCAAAGTTGGAGATTGTTTTTGCCATTTGATCTGAATGATTTACACTTTAATCCAAGTTTTTGTTTTTTTTTGTTGGTTTTTTTATAATTTCGTTGGAAATTCTCCATAAAACATTCCTCCTCACTTGCTGATTAAACCCCTGTGCTATTATAATGCAGGAATATAAAAATGCGAGAATATAAATTATCCTGGAACAATAGGGAGTGTACAAAATGAAAATATGGGGAATAAGGGGAGAAAGAGGTGGAGAGAAAAAAAAAAAAGGAGGGTATATGTATATGGCAACAAGACAAACATTTTAATAAACATAACTTTGTACAATCTCCCACTCACTTTGGTTTAACTAGAAATGAGAAAGATTGTTTTGGATAGAGGCAACACTGGTAATTGTCAAGGAGGGAGTTCCTACATGTGCCATACGTAAGACACCACTTAAAGGGTACAGTAAGCAGTGGACCACGTGCCTTACACTGAAGTTATTTCTTGAAATAGAACATTAGTTCCCAGCTCTGTGCATGTGCCAATATTCCAAATACATGTTTCTCACAGCTGAAAGAATACGTGGTGATGTCATGAAAATGCAGAAAATTAGGCAAGATTAGCTACCTTGCTAGGTACAACATTACATTTTCAATCATTCAGCAAGAAAAATTGTACTCAAGGTTCCCCACAAGTGTGCGGACCTAAAAAAAAAAAAAATCACTTCTATAAATAACTGCAAAACTGCTCCTTTAAAATGATAGAATTGTTAGGTCACCCATGGAGTGCTGTATGCTTACATTAAAGCAGCATTTAATGCACCATGGAAACATTGGTTGTATGTATTAGTGCTTTAAAGGCAGCACTGGATATCAATATACAGCTCACACTTAAATTCGTGAATATCAAAACCTAAAGCTACAAAGACACAGACACTATAATGCAAATGTGGATGGTGGGTAGATTAACCCTAGAGAGTGGAGAAAATGGGAAGAAGATAGGTAAAAGGGTCTCTACTAGTAAAGGAAAGCCCCCATAAAGGCTAGTAAAAAAAATATAGTTTAATCGATTTCCTTTCAAAAGTTTATGAAAGGATTCATATATTAAATCGTTTTAGATGACAGCTAAAAATTGGACGTTTAAACTAGTTTGAAATATATTTAATTTGAAAGCGTTGCTATTCCACAAGGCGAGTTTGATCAGATATTTTTATCAAAATTCTGCCCATTTAGAAGGCTTTACTCGTTAAGAGGCCTTGATTACAGTTAACAGTAAAATGATTTAAAGTAAGCAATTACCAATGTTGCCAAAAAGGAGCACTTCAGGATGCGCGTTATGTCAAAACATAATGCGGATTCTAACAATTCCATCTGACTAATGACAACCCAACTCTTCCAGTGCCTCTCAAAAAAAAATAAAAAAAAA